GAGCAAATGCAGCTCCGGGCAGCTGGGGGTGAGGACAGGGGTGGGAGAGCGCATCTCACAGAGAAGTTGACCTGGGAGCCAGGCAGGCCTTGGGGATAAGGACGATGTCAGGAAGCAGAGAAGTGAAGGGTCACGCTGGATGGTGAGAGCAGAGAGGAGGAGGGCCACGGCTCCGAGGACGAGGTGACCTGCGGGGACCGGGGGTCTAGTGCTCAGAGTGTGGTCCAGAGCGAGCCGCCTCCCTGGGAGTCATGAGACACGCAGACCCGGCTCCCCAGGCCTCCGAGTCGGGCTCTGATTTTCACAAGGTCCCGGGGAGCTGTGAGCACGTGAGAGGCCGAGCCGCCCTGGTCAGGGCCGCGGGCAGGGAGGGTCAGGATGGGACAGGTGACCTGAGAGACGTCCTGATGTCCATGCCTGTGCTCGGCGACTAGTGACGCGGAAACCAGACCAGGGGAGGCCATCACACAGAGAAAAGTACAAGTCAACAGCCCTGTGAACACAGAGACCAAGTTCTTCAGTGCGTCCAGGGGAGGGCACAGCAGGGCCTAGTGGGGCTCACAGCTCTGACATCACCCAGCGAGACACCCCTGTCCACGCAAGATCCCATGAGAGGCCAGGTTTCCACTCCCTCTTCCAACCACGGAGAATGCAGACAACGCATAGGCAACAGCAGCACTCAACGCCGCTCAACGCCGCTATGGGCACTGGGCACGGAAGGACTGAAGGACGGTGACTTCTAGGGACAGAAATGCAGAGGTGCGCCCTCTGCCGCTGGCTTGCAGCCTGCAGAAGTGTCGGATGGGCACGGGGCAGGGGTGTCAGGCAGAGCTGGGAGAGGAGCTGGGGTCCTGGAACTTGAAGGTGGCCAGAGTCCGCCTCAGAGAAGTGGGAGGGACACTCTGCAGAGAGAGCTCGCGACCTGCAGGAGTTCCTGGGGCTCTCGCGGAGCACTGGGCACGGCCTGTGTTGGAGGAAACCACCTGGCCAGGCAAAGCACCTCACGGTCAGATTCAAGGGGGCGGGTCGCAGGGGCGAACAAGGTCAGGAAGGAAGCCAGTCTGCCCTCCGAGCGTGACTGTCAAACGAGGGGACCGCCCACGCCTACAGGTAGCTGCTGGACCTCCAGGGTGAAGACAGTTTCCGCCTGGAAATCTCTGGGAATCACTGGGAGTCCAGGAAGGAAGCTTTTGTATAAAATTGAGGGTTAATTTCATTCCATCAAATGATAACTGCCTCTCATGCTGTAATAATTCAATTAAGTTTTAAATCTAAAATGTGGCTGAGTAACAGATCGGGGCATTAACCTGCTTTCCTGTTAAAAATGCTATGGTTCTCACTATACAGAAGCCATCACGCTAATCACACTGAAACACTGCTCTGTGTTAGAATAAGCACAAGTGAATTGTCACTGCGCTGCTTTGGTATTTGGTGTATTAAGAATTCCTGTATTTTAAAAATCTCGTCTTACTTGGGTTACCTCATCTACCAGTTTAGCCTTAAACCTTTACTTTAATAAGTAGTGTAATCTCATGCATTTACCGACATCTGAGTTGTCTGAAAGGTGCACTTATTCTATTTGGATCTTTTTTTAAAGATATTTGTATTGATTTCAGAAAAAACGGAAGAGGGAGAGAGAGATTGAAACATGAGTGGTGAGATTCATTGATCAGTTGCTTCCTGTACGCCCCCCACTGGGGACCGAGCCCGCAACCCAGACTGGTGCCCTTGACCGGAATCAAACCCGGGACCCTTCAGTCCTCAGGTCTACACTCTATCCACTGAGCCACACCAGCCAGGGCTACTTGGATCTTCTTATCTTTGTGATATATCTCTTTTTAGTTCTCATCAAAAAGAACAAAAACAAAAACTCAAAAAAAAACCCAACAAAGAACCCAAGATTTTAAAATAAGCTAAAGTATCAGATTTTAAATCACTCTTCACAAATAATTAAACCAAGATTTTTTAAAAAATAAAGCATATTAACCACGTAAGTCTTAATATTGTCATTAATATGTTTAGTGAAAGCAAAAATAATTCATGTTTAGTGATATGAGAATGTTTTAAAATAAATCTTTATTTCATCTTTCTTAATTTCTAACATCTGTGCATGCTGTAAATATTTATGTATGTATATGTATACATACACATATATATACATTATACCTAATACTGTGGGAAATGTTTATAATTTCGAGATAAACTATATTGGAGGGTGGTCGTTACTTTTCCTGTTACTGATGGGATTCGCCACTTGAAACAACGAGATCATGGAGAAGGAGAAGAGGAAGGGACAGGGAAGCCGGGTCTCCAGGACACACAGCCCCTGCCCAGAGGCACAAGTAATGGCTGCAGGCCCACCCTCCTTCCCCAGCAGGGAGCACCTGGAACAGCAACCTGTAACCCCCTGAGTCCCTAAGAGGTCCTGCCTCCGTAAGAGAGCAGTATACTTAGCTCTCTTGGAAGTTAAATATTATAATTTTTTATTCATTCAGTGGAGGCTAAAGAAACTCAAATCAATAGGACTCAATATAAAATTTCAAAAACAAAAAGGAGCCTGTCTTACCTAATAATAGACAAACATGTAAATTGACCATCCCTCTGCTACGCTCACCAGCCAATCCAAAGAGTATGCAAATTAATCCAACAAAGATGGCGGTTAATTTGCATACATAGGCACGAAGTGGCAGAGCAAAGACTAAAGGCTCCAGCTGGAGCAAAGACCTGGGTCCTGGGTGCAGGAGGAAAACCAGTGCCAGCAGCCGGGGAAGGGAAGGCCTATTGCACGAATCTCTTCATGTGATGGGCCTCTAGTTTTATTAACAACTAGGGCCCAGTGCACAAAATTCATGCACTGGGTGTGGGGGTGGGGGGTAGTGTCCCTCAGCCCAGCCTGCCCCTTCTCACATACTGGGAGCCCTCAGGAGAGGTCCTACTGACGGCCTAGGCCCACTCCCTGCTCCCCTTGGAGATAGGGCTTAAGCCGCAGTCTGGCCTCCCTTTGTGGGAGGCGACCGGGCTGATCAGGGGAAGGCACCAGCCCCATCACCCCGCTGCTGCATCCACTGCCAGTCCCCGCAGCCACCAAGGTGTTTTCATCAACCCGGACTCCAGTCCCTTCACCATGAAAAAATGACAACTTTCTTTAGGCATTTTCAAGATGTGTCTTTCATAGGATATGACATTTCTTTATTATTTTTTTATCCTCACCTGAGGATATGTTTCCATTGATTTTTAGAGAATGTGGAAGAGAAAGGGAAAGACAGAGAGAAACATCAAAGTGAGAGGAATACTTTGATTGGTTGCCTCCTGCATGAGCCCTGACCTGGGCCCCGGCCAGGGAGGAGCCTGCAATCTAGGTACATGCCCTTGGTCAGAATTGAACCAAGACCCTGCCATAGGCTGGACAAGGCATTATCCACTGAGCCAAACCGGCTAGGGCAGGATATGACATTTCTAAGCCCTCCAGCAGCAGACCTCCGTTTTTTTTCATCAGGAGTGTGGTGAAAAACCCTAGATCACCGTTTTGAATTCTTATTACCCAAGTTACTAAGAATATTACCAGTGGCATACAGGGATCTTAACCTATGAGCGGTCAGAAAAGGTGCTTCCTCTGTAGTTCACACCAATCTGCGGCTTGGCCACCCACCCACCCCTGCCCCAGGCTTGATGACTCTGGCCCAGACTTCAGGCCTGGGCAGGGGAACCCCATCTCCCCTGATCACGGGCTCCACCCTTGCCCAGGCCTCCAATTACCATTTTTCTCTTTTATTAGTGTAGATCTTTTACTTTTACAAACTCCTATCTATACCTTATTTTTAAGAATAACAAAAATCTGTGAATACATTTAAAATATCTAAATGTTACAGTCTGCTGTTTCTCATTCTAAGGCCCGCAAGAATATTCTTAGAGATATAAGAATTAAATAAAACTCGATTTCAAGCTTCATTTTTCATGATAACATAACAGATTAGTCTGGACCACCAGAAAGGATACCTTAAAACAGTGACTTGCCATCTATTTCGGTGTGAAAGTCAGCATCTGTATTTGCAATCATAAAGAATTGCCACTTAATTTTAATCCACTTGATCTCCAATATTACACCAAAAGGTCTAGAGTGCAGCCCTGACCGGTTTGGCTCAGTGCATAGAGCGTCGGCCTATGGACTGAAGGGTTCCAGGTTCGATTCCAGTCAAGGGCATATATCTTGGTTGCAGCACATCCCCAGTAGTGGGTGTGCAGGAGGCAGCTGATAGATGTTCCTCTCTCATTGATGTTTCTAACTTTCTATCCCTTGCCCTTCCTCTCTGTAAAAAATAAATAAAATATATAAAAAGAAAAAGTCTGAAGTGCAGTAAGCCTTTTTGTTGATAGCTGGTGTTAAGTGGGTTATGTGCATTATTCAAGAATTAAAGATGCTGTCATATTCAATGTATAAGGGGAAACCCCAAATAATAAACCACAAATAACAAACGAATGTGCATGACTGACCTGCAGCCAGAGAAACATGGCGTGACTACTGTGTCGTTTAAAGAGCCGCAAACACAGGGCAGGTTACCAGAGCACTGTTCCAGCACTTGAAAAGGCCAACTTTATCTAAATAGAAAAAAAAACAAATGAATTTAAAGTGATTTTTCATGTTTTCACTAAACTTTTCTTCCTATAAATATTTATAAAGTGGTATTGACAAATATTGAAAGACTCATATTTATGGTTTGTTTTGTTTTGTCTATGAATTCTTCAAAAGATATTTTCAAACTTACTCAAAGTATTAGTTTTATAATTCATTGGTAGGTTTAACAGAACTACGTCAGCTATATTTACATATTTAAGCAGTAATAAAAACAACAACTCTACATCCAAAATATTCAGAATCAACAAGCCATAAATTACTTGGCCAAGTTTAATATCTACACTAATAAAAGAGAAACATGGTAATTGGCGTACAACCTGCTACCCCTTTCATTGGCTAATCAGCGAGATATGCAAATTAACTGTCAGCCAAGATGGCGGCCGGCAGCCAGGCAGCTTGAAACTAACATGAGGCTTGCTTGCCTCAGTGACAGAGGACTCCAACGTTCCCAGCCTGCCGCTGCAGTCCTCTGAGGCGGCAGTTTCAGAAACTATGTAACAAATACCACCTGACTTCAGCCAGCAGATTCGCAACATTGTATGCAAAGACCAGAAACCTATTTTCAGCAGCGGAGGCCTAAGAGCTGGAGCAAGCCTCAAAGCTAAAGCTGGCCCAGAATAAAAAGAAAAAAAGGAGCAGTTGGGAGCTTCAGTCACCCACAGCCTGAAAACAGCCCTCAGCCCCTCACCCAGACTGGCCAGGCACTCCAGTGGGGACCCCTACCCTGAATGGTGTGTGACCAGCTGCAAACAGCCATCATCCCCTCACCCAGGCTGGCCAGGCACCCCAGTGGGGACCCCCACCCTGATCCAGGACACCCTTCAGGGCAAACCAGCCAGCCCCACCCATGCACCAGGCT